CAGGTGGACCCCACTTTTCTTCTAACGGTCAAAAAATCAATTCTCAAAATTCCTCCCAAACGGGGCATAAATGTTTACATTTCAGTTATACATTTCTTTTTAGTTTGTGGTTATTCCATGATAAACAATATGTGACATTAGTAGAAATATAAGTGTCCATAAGTGACACATGTGCCACTACTAAACTTACAAGAGGGAGATGAGAACGACACAAGTGTCGTTATGTTTGTTACAAAATTTATTGAGAATAGAACAAAAATCGTTATTGAGATTAAAATGTTTATGAAAACGACACAAATATTGTTATGTTTGCAAATATAATTGTCCATGAGAACGAACATGTGCCGTTGCTCAGATGAAAACATATATGAAAATGGAACAAGTGTCATTACTTACATATAAGTAATCATGCTCATTTGTATCTCTAGAATGACGTTGGATAAATGTACGAGAATGATTTGCGCTTTCACCTACACGCTATCGTATATGTTATTTCAACCGTTCTTTGTCACACAATTAACATTTATCATATATAATTTATCAAAAATATGAGAAATCAACAGAAAGACATAAGTGTTGTTACTGAATAGAAAATGACATTTGAGTCATTTTATTTATAAATACGAGTATAAGCAGACATGCACCATTCGTGCCTATCAAGAAATAAGTTAAACTCATTAAGTTGTAAGATGGATGTTACGTTTACAAAAGAATGGTTAATTACATGACAAAAGCAATAGAACCACTTCTGCTTTCATCAACTCTATCATATAATTTATGTCACTTTAATTGTTTTTGTCATGTGATTAACCTTTTTTATCTTATGTACTCTAGGTTTTCAACGCTCGATGTCGTTACGCTGGAAATAAACCAAAATATAAAAGAAATTAACAGAACAACACAAGTGACCGAGAAGAGAACAACACTTGTATTGTTTTATTTTTAACCATGATTATAAATAATCACGCCCCATTCGTGCTATCGAGAAACAATATCTTAAACTCATTTAAACTGCAAAGTTGACATTACGTTTACAAAGTTGAAAGATATACCCATTACTTATATTCTAATGAAAACAATAGAACTACTTCTACTTTTATAAGCTGTATCATGTTATCTATTTCATTTCAATCATTCTTTATCATGTGATAATCTTTCTATCTACATACTCTAGGTGTCTAATGCTTGAGGTCGTTGCACCGAAAATAAATTAAAATATATTAGAAATCAACAAAAAGACCCAAGCACCCGAGAAGAAAACAATACTTGTATCATTCTTTTTTAAACACAATTATAAATTGTCACGTCACATCTGTGCCCCGAGAAACAATAAGTAGAAATTGTTTAATTGTAAAATGGATGTGACATTTACAATAGTTGTGAGATGTACTCATTACTTATATTTTAATGAAAATAGTACAACTACTTGTACTTTCATCGATTCTATATCATGTAGTTTATGTCATTTTAATCATTCTTTGTCACGTGATCAACCTTTCTATTTTACGTATGCTAGGGGTCTAATGTTTAAGGTCCTTTTGTTAGAAGCAGATCAAAATATAGAATAAATCAGCATATCGACACAAGTGATATTACTAATAAGACAACAGCCCTTGTGTCGTATTATTTGTAAACATGATTATATGCAACCACGTACCATCCATACCGTGAGAAATAATAACTTTAACTCATTAAGTTGTGAAATGGATACGACATTTAGAAAAATCGAGAGATATGCTTATTATTTGTATTCTAATAAAATAATTGAATCACACGTTCTTTCATCGACTATATTATATAATCTATGTCATTTCAATTGTTCTTTGTCATGTGATCAACACTTATGCCTTACATAGGTTAGGGTCCAATGCTTAAGGTTGTAGAGTTGAAAACAAATCAAAATATAAAAGAAATCAATAGAACGACACAAGTGACATTACTAAGAAGAAAATTGCTCTTACATTTTTCTTTTTTAAATATGATAATAAGTGGCCACGCTACATTCGTACATCAAGAAATAATGAGTTAAACTCACTTAAGTTGTAAGATGGAAATGAAATTTACAAATGTTGAGATACATGCTCATTACTTATATTATAATGAAAACAATAGATACACTTGTGCATTCATCGACTTTATATCATATAATCTATATCATTTCAACAATTCCTTGTCATGTGATCAACCTTTATATCTTACGCATGTTAGTGGTCCAATGTTCGAGGTTGTTGAGTTGGATACGAATCAAATATATAAGAAATCAACAGAACGATACAAATGACATTATTGAGAAGAAAGCGGCTCTTGTGTTGTTCTATTTTTAAACACGATTATAAATAACCACGTTTCATTCGTACACCGAGATACAATAAGTTAAACTCATTTAAGTTATACAAAAATACAATGAATACGAAAATCAATAAGTTCTAAAATATCATTCCATATTATATTTAATAATAAAAATACATCGTACGTGATATGTGAAAATACATTTATTCCCTTTTCAAATGCATTTGAACATTAATATCGATAATATGATAATCGAACTATTGTTTAAATGTCCAAAAGATATCCAAAATGGGTAAAGAATATAATGAAGAACGTAATTTTATGGTACGAATCACGAAAGCCAAAAAGAAAAGAAAAAAAGGTTGGTTGTGATTTTAGGGCCCTAAAATTGAATTGAATTGATACGACTATTAATGTCTTTTCTAATTGTGAGGATATATATGATATTTGACATTGTTTATCTATTATATTTTATAATTGGAGTACATTTGACCAAAAAACACTGGGAGGATTATTTAATGAAATACATGGTTCGATTAAGCTATTTAATCAATTATCTCTTATTTTGTTAAAGAACGTTTTGTTGAAAATAAGTCACTGTTTATTATTATTTAACAAATTAAATTGTTTGCTATAATAATATTCTCCATCACACAATAAAATATTTTACACAGATATCAATAAATTTTCTTTAAATTTTAACCACACATTCCTCAAAAAACAAAAAATATTATTCAAAACTTTATAATTTCTTTCGTAATGAAAGGCAAACAGGCTCTAAGAGAGTGTTAAATGAAATAGAGCCCAAAAGGGCTAAATTTTACCCAATAATTATCTTACACGTGGAAGCCTCCCAACAGAAATGTGGTACAGAGACAGGGAGAGGAGACAGGTCGAGGTGGCAGATCTCGACCCTTGATCTGAATTTTTTGTAGCTTATAAACTCATGCGCGCTAACTCCCTTCTCTCGCTTAAGGTTTGTGATTGTGCAATAAGAGATCCGCGGCTTGTTGATTCAGAAAATGGATCATGCTAGATGTACCTCATTTTTTTACCTAATACTTTACACAAACTCACAACAGGGGTGTGGGGACCACATGCTGGGATTATTTTATTCACATGGGGTCCACGTGCTTGTGAGAGTAGGTAAACTATTTGGTAAACCAAATTATGTACACTTAGAATTATCCTTCAGAAAATATGGGTAAATGTTTTTTTCCCCGATTTCTCTGGTTTTTAAACGTTTCCTTGTTTTTGTGCATGGTGATTTTTTCGTTAAAAGATGATTTTTTCTTGGGATTTTAATTTCGAAAAATTATTCTGTTTTCTTTGGTATTTTTTGTTATTGTTGTGTATTTTGTTACCCTTCTGTAGATTCTGGCTCTTTTCGCTGTTATTAAAGTTTTTGCCAAATTATATTTGATTATTTATTTATTTTCTGCTGAACAGATGTGTAACCAAGAAATAACGAATGATTATGAAGAGTATCTTAGTAAGTGATTCAGAAAATTGGATTAAGCTAAAGTTTGAAAGATGCTTTGGAATTTTTTAACTGTCACTCTCATTGTAGGTGATCACAGTCTTTGTTATGGAGTGATTACAGTATTTTTGTATACAATATACAGATATGTATGTATGTTCTAATTAAATTCTGAAATATTATTAGAATTTCAATGACATCTGTTGTAGGTCGGACTACGTAAGATTTGTGCATCTAGACAAAATTCTTTGTATAGATCACAAACAAAAAATTAAAACTATCTGAAGGGAACAACCTTTTTTCGTGTTTCAGAATTTGATTGAGGTGATAGTTGCAACAAGAGTTAAAGATAACTTTACTCAGAGCCATGGATCAATTGGACCACATACTCCAACAACAACATTAGAATCTTCAACAACGGCTGCCAGTGGTCGAAGTTGTACCGGGCAGTGGCCCGGTGGCCTATGCTAATTGTTTCGTGCGGATTAGTCGCTAACAATTAAAAGGGATCAGACGATTGTGTAAGGGACAAACCTCTTGAGACAAAGTCCCAAAAAGGGGTGTTCTTTTATTGGCGATGACTTTACAATTGGAAATTAAAAACAGAATGCCTCCAAGGGGTGCAAGCACACGAGTTACTGAAAGAAGTGTTTAAATCTAAACTAAGGAATTTAAAATTACATGTTCTCTGTTTGAGAGTTTTTGATTCGGTCTTTTGCTCTATGTCTTTTTTTCCTTTTATACTCTCTGGATGATCTCTTTGTGATCAACCGCCTAAAAACTGCTTGATCGTTCTACAACTGCCCACCTTCCTCGTAATGGCCAACTTATCATGGAACTGCCTTTTTTAACTGCTGCCATTACCCTTCGTCGTTCAACCGTTTTCGATTGAATTCCTTGAATCGTGGAACGTGATAGGGCTGTTTTAATAATTGCTTTGATAACTGCACTTCTTGATAACTACCACACTTTATGTTTGCTAAGACCTTGAGCGACTCGAAAGTTTGGGCGAGAATAGAGTAACAGCTCTGGACGACTGCATGTCACTCCATTCGCTCAGATTTTGGGCGACTTGCAAATTTGGGCGATAGTGTTACCACGTTCTTGGGCCTCCCTATTTGGGCCTTCATCTTGAATTGTTTGATTGAGTTTCGTTCTTTGGGCTATCTGATTTGGGGATCCTCCAATTGGGCTTCATTCCTTGGTTCGTTCGATTTGGACTGAATTTTTATGTGTCAACACTAATCCTCACGAAACGGCACAGGTGAAGGCTACAGGCACTCCAGCCGTAGCCGTTTCCTCCCCGACTACTTTTCCGGCTTCCCTCAGTAGTCAGCAGCAGCAACAGACTCGTCAGCAGCTTCAAGCTTTCTGGGCCAATCAAATGCAAGAGGTCGAGCACACGACTGATTTCAAGAACCATAGCCTCCCGCTTGCTCGAATCAAGAATATAATGAAAGCTGATGAAGATGTTAGAATGATCTCTGCTGAAGCTCTAGTTGTTTTTGCGAAGGCATGTGAGATGTTCATCTTGGAGTTAATGCAACGATCCTGGATCCATGCAGAAGAGAACAAAAGGAGGACTCTTCAGAAGAATGATATCGCCTCTGCCATTTCGAGAACTGACGTTTTCAACTTTTTGGTTGATTTTATTCCCCAAGACGAGTTGAGAGAGGAGGGGCTTGGTGTCAGTAAGGGTACCATCCCATTAGTAGGATCTCCTTCAGATGCTATTCCGCATTACTATGTTCCTCAGCATCCAGTGGGACCAGCTGGGATGATCATGGGAAAACCGGCAGATCAAGCTACGCTCTTTACTGTTCAACCTCCTCTTCCCTGTATGCCATGGCAGCAGGCACAGGGTCAGCTGTCTCAGCCTCGAGAGCAACAGAGAGACACCACGGAGGGTTGAGACATAGGTAATATATGTGGTTAGGTAGGCAATTAGAAGACGAACTGAGATTTCATTGCTTTGCTGCTGTAGTGTTTGCTAGGTCACTGAAGCATAAGGACTTGGATGGATGATAGTGAATTGAATTTCGGGTAGTTATGTGTCTTGTGACCTTTGATATTGCTGTTCTTAGGAGGGTTTACATATGCTTATCTCATACGTGACAGGGGATGCATAATGGAAGATTTGTTTGGCAAAAACTTTGACGAAAATTTTGAAGCCTCTACAAATGCAATACACAAAGTACTCATATTCTGCGTTTTGTGTTTCACTTGTTTCTCAGCCAAACATAGTCTATATATCATTACTGCTATTCATGGCGAAGACTATCGTTAGTTGTCATACGAGGCATACATATAACTATTTGTTATTTGATGCATTAATATGACAGTTTTTGTTGCTTCATACATCAAATAACAAATTGTTATGTGTGTTACGTAGAACGACTATCGATAGTTTTCATTATGAATAGTATTATTCTTCACTTATCTATAGCACCACTGAATAACCATTAGGAAAGCTGGATTGTGAGATGCTGCCTGCTTTACGAAGTGCATCAGTTTTACTAGCCGCTGCTAAGCTCTTTGCTATGAGAGTGCTTAGTTCACTTTGATTGCAAATGAACTAAACGGACAAACAGAAAAAAGTTTTACAGGTCTTTTTATTTTTTTAGTATCAATATTAATTTTTATATTTTAAAAGTCCTGCGAAATGGACCATTATTCTTTTAGGAAATAACTTCCAGAAACATGCTTAATTTAATAAGTAGATGAATATTGCAATTATTTAATTTGCCTGAAGTTCATAACAGATTGTAACAACGCTGTGTATTTGGTGGGAACTCCGATTGATAAATCTTGCGATCTTTTTTCCACTCGGGGAAACCTGTTTAACTGCATCTTTGGGAAGATGGCGATGTTGATTCCCATTTTTTCGTCTTGTCCCCTATCGTTGCTTGCCAAATTACGACAAGTGGGGATATCCTCTTGGTGTATGCTAATTGGATCAAGTTAGTCAATTTATTTTATCGAGTGTGCCATTTTTAATGAGTTGAAAAAATTAATTTTAAAGAATTCACACCATACATAGGCTAAATTGAGTATACATTTTACCAAAGTAAAATTGATCTTTAAGGGTTAAAATTTTTTGTCAACCTCCGGAAAAATTTATGGAGGATTTGGCAAATAAAAGTAGACACCCATTGAAATTTGTTATGGACAAATATACCTCCTACCATTTATTTTGTCAAGAGGATTCAAGAAAAGACAGTTGCAAAAAGAGAAAATAGAGTTTAATTCTTTTAGATATATATGTAAAAAATTTAAACCCACATATAAAATAGATTAGGTATGTCTTAGCTAAATCTTAACTAGAAAATGTTTCACATTAAAACGCGAACCAAATTCATATCATCAATAGTACTCAAAGATTCAGTCGATAAAATCGCGTGATAAAGTAAAACTGAAAACAACTAACCTATTGGCGGAAAATGTCATATAATCCTAAAACTAGAATTGATCATAATAATTATTGTTGTTACATGAAATGATTCTAATAAAATCTTGGCTCTACTACAAACCTTGAGAGATATCTAAAGCTCTTTCCCATCCAGATATGCTCACAGCATGTCCACCAGTTACACCAAATCACTCGTTGGTCGTCGCAGACCAGAGTAGAAGGCTTTTAGGAAAAGTGGATGCACGTCTTTTGTTAACACCTCGGCATCTAATTTCTCAACATGCGGCCAAATCTGTTGATCATTGCAAAAGAAGTCAAGTTTTTAGTACTATCCAGTGATGTCCAATCTTCATACCAAAGAATGCTATAAGGAAATTAAAAGCTGCTGGAGCACCTAGCAGCTTGTTTTGGAAAGCTTAAAAGTTTTATTGAACTTACTTTTTAACTTCTTTTTTCCGCACATGTTTGGATGTATTACCTTTTTCCCACTGAAAGAATTTATTAAGGCACTAAAGTAGGAATTACTTTCACATAAATATCTTGCTTATTTCCAATTTTAACCAACCAACAAATTACTTATCTTAAGATTTCCCTACTTAATTGCAAGTAATTTTTAAGTTTAACCACACACATACCGATATGTCCCAGTGCCAGGCTTAAGGGCAAAACAGATCTACACCCTCTCCATTTTTTTTTTTTTTTG